ACAACTCCTCTTCCTTAGTCCTATTTTTCAGAACCCTTTCTACTAATCAGAGTTTAAGGCAAACTGGCTCCTGAGAATCTGTACTTTTCCTGTTCATTTCCTAAAGGACTCCTGTCAGATGGGCCCACTTGTAGGACCTCAGCCACAGCAAAGGAAAGCCCTTGGTGTCACCCAGATGGGAAACTGACGTGGCCCACACCTTCCTGAGCTTGGCTTTTAGGTCCTTATTTACCCTGAGCTTCCCTGTGTTTGGTCTTCCTAAAGAAAATATTTAGAGAATGTCTTGCAGATTCAGTCTGCCTTAGGAGAAAGTGGAATGAATGGCAGTGAGCCTACGTTATCTGGGCCTGCCTTGGAAAACCCTACCTCCTCTAAGCAGAAGAGCGAGTCCCTATCTCTAAATAGCTGCAGAAAAATCTTTTTCTTCTTTTATTTACATTAAAAAGCATTACTATAAGAGATGCATTTTAATACCTACAAGTCTTCCCTCTCAGGAAATTTATTCTCATATTTGACTTCAGTGCTTTCATACTACAACTTCCGTCCTCCAGGGAGAAAAAAAGATGATTGGCATTATCTGTCTTAAAAGTCTGTATTTTTAATGGCCACCATTAAATCTCTTGGACACAACATCTTCTCCAGACACAATAAGCTGGGTTCCTTTATCTTTCCTGCATATATTGCATTTTCCAGCTCTTTGTGTCTGTTATGACTGACCTCTTGTAAATTATAGAATTAGATACTGAAGAGTAATGGAGAAGACAGCAGACGAAGTCCTTCTGGAGGGGCTTAGAATCTCTTATAAAGGGAGAGAGCAAATAAACCTATGTGAAATATATATACACATAGAAACATTACATAAATACATTGCCACTTTAGCTGTACTGTACAAATAATGTTGAGGGACTATTAGAGATGATTGTGACCAAACTTGGTTATTTTTGTGAGAAGAATAATGAATCGTGTTTGGAAGCAAGAAGTACCCTGCCTAATAAGGAGAAATTGGAAATTCTCTCTGTTGTTCATCAATGGTATTCATTGAAGTATCCATCTCCAGCACATAGCATAATTCCTGGCTTATTTCAGACACTCAGTAAGTGCTCGTTGACTGTATGATAACCAGCTGGGTATAGTACTCCAGGAAGAGTATGCCAGTATGATTTGCTTTGTAAATTTGTAAATAAGTCTGATATCCTGTATATCCCTAATCATAAAAATTTTAGAATTTTAGAGTGGAAAGGATTTTTAAGTAGCAAAACATTACAGATATGCTCTCCTGCATTTGTCCCTGCTGTAGATCATTTCATCTTCCTTTTAACTCTTCCTCCAGGTGACCTATGTTTCTATGAACCAGCAGAAGAGGCAGGAGCTAGTCCTGAAATGATTCTGCAGCCTGCTTAGTGACTCCATTTCTTAGCACTGCTGCCACATTGCTTTCATTTTGCTTTATTTAAGGGATTTCATTATTAAGCAGTTACCTTTCAATAATATTATTCCTCCAGTTCAATCACTCCTAAACATCCTGTCTCTCGTATTATATACACTGCTCCCCTTGAGTCCCACTGAAAGATTGCCCTAGGTTTCCTTTCCTGAAGATATGTTTGGGTCTCAAGTGTTCTTGCAAATGGTTAACTAGAACAACAACCATAAACAATCTATAAATGCAATATTGTATTCTGGATTGGATCTTGGAACAGCAAAAGAACATTAGTGAAACAACTGGTGAAATCTGAATAAAGGCCATAATTTGCATAATGTTAATTTCCTAAGTTTTGATCAATGTGCCATGGTTATGTAAGATGTAAGCATTAGGTGAAGCTGGATAAAGGGTATGAAGGTGTGAACATTTTACAAATACAGAGATGTTAGAAACTGTGGAAGTACATGTGAACATCCTGGTTATTTTCAAAAACATAATTTTCAAAATAATGAGAAAATTGCAGACTTCCAAAGTATACTTTTAGATAGTTCTAGACTGTAAGATAAACAAAGTAAAACAACCCTTATCTGGGCTCATCCCCCTTCTCATTCAGGTTTCTCCTCACTCCATTCCCTCCATTTCCACAGCTTCAGCTGTCTGCTCTGTGCTCCCATCAGAAGTGCCCCAGGTCTTCTACACCTCAGTCCCGGATCCATGTTTGCTGTTTCCCACACAGGCACTGGATATTTGGCACATGGGAAGCTCAATTTTTTATTCCCTCCCCTGGAACCCTGCCCTCAGTTGGCCAGTGGCATCACCATTCTGATCCCCAAGCTCTATGCTTCAGGGTCATCTTTGACTCCCTTCTTCTTTTACGCTTATTCCCAATGTTCTTGATTCTTCCAAAAAGTCTCTGGTATCTACCCACTCATTCCTTTCACTATCCCCTTGTCTACCCTAAAACAGTCTCTCACGTGCCTTGTCACCTGTCTGTACTTTCTCCACGCTCCCTACTGCCTTCAGAGGGAGGACACAACAGAGCACACCAGTGTGGCTTTCCTGCTTCAAAAAGCATCCGTGGCTCTATACTGCTACCAGCCTAAACTTTTTATGGTAATAAATATCCATCCAGAAGAGACATGTATGTTATTACTAAATTAGATGGTCAGCTCAAACCTACCTCCCTCCTTCCTCCAACCCCAACCCCAAGAAAGTAGAAGGAGCACAGGCCTTTGAAGTCAGAAAGTCCTGGCCTTGAATCTCAGCTCTGTGACCTTGCGCAAATTGGTCTTTGCCGTTGAGCCTCGGTTTTCTCTTACGTAAAATAGAGGTTGTATCCAGGACTATTATGAGGATTAGATAAAATTATGTTTGTCCAGTGCCAAGCTCAGTGACCTCTTCTCATTGTTATTGGTGCTTAATACTGTAGGCTGCCTTGAGGAAGAGTTCCCTTGATCATTTCTGTCATGTGTTTGAGTTATTGAAAATGGAGGTTGAGGCCGAGCGCGGTGGCTCACGCCTGTAATCCCAGCCCTTTGGGAGGCCAAGATGGGTGGGTCACGAGGTCAAGAGATCGAGACCATCCTGGCCAACATGGTGAAACCCTGTCTCTACTAAAAATACAAAAAAATTAGCCAGCGTGGTGGCATGCTCTTGTAGTTCCAGCTACTGGGAGGCTGAAGTAGAAGAATCGCTTAAACCCAGGAGGCGGAGGTTGCAGTGAGCCAAGGTTGTGCCACTGCACTCCACCCTGGCGACAGAGCAAGACTCCATCTCAAAAAAAAAAAAGAAAGAAAGAAAGAAAGAAAAGAAAAAAGGAAATGGAGGTGGATTACGTCTCATCGTACCTCCAGGGACCATGGTCTACCTTCCATGTCAGAGGCCTTACTGTAGAGAAGCTAATCCCACTTGGAGGAATTGAGTACTTTTCCTATACCCTACCCAGCTGTGCTGGGTGCTCTGCTTTCTGTCACAGGTGCAGCCCTGAACCATTAGAGTTGAAGGGAGCCTAGCCTTAGGAAATGCATTCAGTTTCCCAGAATATAATGCCGTTGTCACTCATCTCATTCCTGTGGGTGAAACAGTGTGCTTTTGAGCAGAATTCTTCAGTGACTTTCCTACTTTCCAGGAGAGGTCCAAACTAGAATACACCTACCCCAGTCCTCCGTCTAGTCAGGACCTCATTTAATTGATTCAGTGCTCCATTTTCAGTAGTCTAAAACAATGTCTGATATACGGTATATGCTTAATCAATATTGGATGGATGGAAGGATGAATGATTTAATATCTAGGATATGGCAACAAATGCATACTTAATTGAAAGGCTGAATAATGATTTTCACAGTGAGCAAAATTATTAGGCCAGTGGTTGTAAACCTTGACTGTACTAATCACCAAGAGAGTTTTTTTGTTTTGTTTTATTTAACACTGATTTATGAGCTCTACCCAGGAGTATGCTCTGTTGCTTTCCAAAAGCCCTCCAAGTGATTCTAATAGACAGCCAGTGTTGGAATCCACCATGTTTGACTACTCAAAATATGTGTACCCCGTGCATAACTCTTTATCATTTTCAATTACCACATTGTATGTAATTATCAGCTTGTATGTCTCTCCCTCACTTGACTTTATGCTCCTTGAACTCATACTGGGGCTGTCTTGCTAGTGCCTGGCATGGTGCTTGGCATATAATGAATAGTCATAAATATTAATTGGATAGATTGGTGGTTTCTTTCATTTCAGACATAAGAAAATTGCATAGTACCAAATAAGACAAAGAGAAAAAATGTTAGCATCATGGATTTTGTTTTGGGTTCAGTTTGTGTGTGTTATTTTCCAGTCATCTACACTTTGGTAACCTGTTGCTTGCCCATAATGGATTATTTGTTTCTGTTCGTTCACTGTCATCTATCCAGATGCTGTGAATAGGCAGCAGCTAAAGATACTGGACTTCATTGAAGAGTCCTAATTTAAAATATCTTGTCCCATTATTCGCATTTATACATAGGTTCTAAATTTGCCATCACTATACATATGAGAGGATAGTTCATTAATGTGATATTCAGTATCAGTCCTCATTAATGAAAGCTGTAGAAGCCTCTAGACACATGGGTTGCCATTCCAATTTTTCTGAAATCCAAAATTAATGTAATTAGGTATAGAATAATACAGCTAGAAAGATATTTACATTAAACCATCCTCATTCTGCTGTGAATAAGCTGAAGCCAGGTGGGCATTTGGGGACTTTCCAGAGATCACACAGTTTATTATGGACACAGCTGGTACAAGAAACCTAATGTTCTGGTCCTCAGGCCTGGACCACTACACAGTGCTTGCAGCATTTAAGATTACATTAGAAGTCAAAGATCAGACTTTTACTTCCATTCTAGTGTCTGTATTCAGAAGAAAAGTATCTGAGAAAAAGATATTACAGGTTTCTCAGAAGGCTTAGGAGGAGAAGTATAGTTGGAAAGTGGAGAGGGCAGAGGAAAGGAATTCTTGAAGGAGACTTTGAAAGTTATCAGAAAAATGTGTGTTTTGTGACAGCACCACAGTTCACTTGTATACCTGCCCTTGTTTTCAGAATCTTCCCCAGAGAATACCTCCTTCAACAGATCCACCTGTATTCCCTCGCCGACCTGCAGCAGGTAAGTGCTCAGAGGGGCCGTTTCATTTTTGTTGTTTTCCTGGAGAAGTCTCTTTGTGGATTATGGTCTTGCCACTGAATTCTGCCATCAATGGAGAAGTTTTCATCACAAGCCCTAATAATTAATTCTTATTCAGAATGGGGGGAAAACTTAGTATGAAAAGATACATAGGACAGTAACAAATGTTGGCAAGAATGTAGAGAAACCGGGGCTCTTATACATTACTGGTGGGATGCAAAGTGCTACAGCCACTTTGGAAACAGTCTGGCAGTTCCTCAAAAAATGAAACTTAAAGGGCCAGGCGCAGTGGCTCACGCCTGTAACGCCAGCACTTTGGGAGGCCGAAGTGGGTGGATCACCTGAAGTCGGGTTCAAGACCAGCCTGACCAACATGGAGAAACCCCATCTCTACTAAAAATACAAAATTAGCCGGGCATGGTGGCACATGCCTGTAATCCCAGCTACTCAGAAGGCTGAGGCAGGAGAATTGCCTGAAACCAGGTGGCAGAGGTTGTGATGAGCCAAGATCGTGCCACTGCACTCCAGCCTGGGCAGCAAGAGCAAAACTCCATCTCAAAAAAAAAAAAAAAGAAAGAAAACAAAAAGAAACTTAGAGTTACCGTATGACCCAACAATTTTACTCCTAGGTATATACATAAAAGAGTGGAAAACATAATGTCCACAGAAAAACCTGAGCACAAATATTCAGAGCAGCATTATTCATAATAGCAAAAAAGTGGAAACAACCCAAATGTTCACAGCTGATGAATGGATGAACAAATGTTTTGTAGTGTATAGTAAAATATTATTTTGCCGTAGAAAGGAGTGAGGTACTGATGCATGCTACAACATGGATAAATCTTGAAAACATCATGCTAAGTAAAAGAAGTCAGACAGAAAAGAATACATACTATATGATTCTATTTACATGAAATGTTTAGAATAGGCAAATCCATAGTGACAAAGTACATTAGTGGTTGCCAGGGCCTGGGAAGAGTGAAGAAATGAGGAGTGACTGCTAATGGATAAAGACTTTCTTTGGAGGCTAATGAAAGTGTTCTGGAATTAGACGGCAGTGATAGTTGTACAGTCTTGTGAATATACTGAAAACCACTAAATTGTTTACTTTAAAAGAGTAAATTTTATGGTGTGCGAATTTTATCAATTAAGAATTTGTATGGGCCGGGCACGGTGGGTCACATCTATAATCCCAGCACTTTGGGAGGCCGAGGTGGGTGGATCATGAGGTCAAGAGATCGAGACCATCCTGGTCAACATGGTGAAACCCCGTCTCTACTAAAAATACAAAAATTAGCTGGGCATGGTGGCGCATACCTGTAGTCCCAGCTACTCGGGAGGCTGAGGCAGGAGAATTGCCTGAACCCAGGAGGCGGAGGTTGCAGTGAGCCGAGATCGCGCCATCGCACTCCAGCCTGGGTAACAAGAGTGAAACTCCGTCTCAAAAAAAAAAAAAAAAGAATTTGTATGAAAAGATGTAAAAGGTATTAAGCCCTTTGACTTGTGCTCAAGCCAAAAGTTGAGTGACTTTTAAACTTCAGTGAAGCGTAACAGAACACATAAGATTTGAAATCCATCTTTTTATACTTTTATTAGCAAATGTACTTTTTTTCTTTCCTTTTATTTTCTTTTTTTTTTTTTTTTTTTTTTTTTTTTTGTGAGACAGAGTCTCGATTTGTCACCCAGGCTGGAGTGCAGTGGCATGATCTTGGCTCACTACATCCTCCACCTCCTGGGTTCAAGCGATTCTCCTGCCTCGGCCTCCCAAGTAGCTGGGATTACAGGCATGCACCACCATACCTGGCTAATTTTTGTAGTTTTAGTAGAGATGGGGTTTCATCAAGTTGGCCAGGCTGGTCTCGAACTCCTGACCTCAGGTGATCCGCCCACCTTGGCCTCCTAAAGTTCTGGGATTACAGGCATGAGCCCCAGCTTCTGGCGCGCTTGTACTTTTAATGATTGACCAGAGATTAACAGCTATAAAGAAACTGGCCTTTTGTGTGTTCAGCCCTAAATTCTAAATGTGTTAAGCTTTGGTTAATAATTTAAATCAACAACTCACTCCCTAAGAAGCTGTTGGACACTAAATAAATGATTCTTTCAAGAGTTGATTAAATAATAATAATAATTGTGACAGCTTTCAGAGTATCTCAAACTTCTGCAATTCTGTTCTTTCATTGTTGTTTTCCTCTTTGTTGTTTTATCCAGAAGAATTTAGGTGACCTTAAAAACCATGCTCATGGCCGGGCGTGGTGGCTCAGCCTGTAATCCCAGCACTTTGGGAGGCCAAGGCGGGTGGATCACGAGGTCAAGAGATCGAGACCATCCCGGTCAACATGGTGAAACCCCGTCTCTACTAAAAATACAAAAAATTAGCTGGGCATGGTGGCGTGTGCCTGTAATCCCAGCTACTCAGGAGGCTGAGGCAGAATTGCCTGAACCCAGGAGGCGGAGGTTGCGGTGAGCCGAGATCGCGCCATTGCACTCTAGCCTGGGTAACAAGAGCAAAACTCCATCTCAAAAAAAAAAAAAAACAAGCTCATATCCTTCAGTCATTTTTCTGACTTTAAATTACTTTTCAAGGATTTTTTTCTCGTTTAATTTAATAACTTAAGACTTTTACATTCTTTTTGTCTCCCCCTCCCCCCAGAGATAGGAAAGTTATTTTATTTTATTTATTCGTCTTTGAGACAGTCTCTGTTGTCCAGGCTTGAGTGCAGTGGTACCATCTTGGCTCACTGTAACCTCTACCTCCTGGGTTCAAGTAATTCTCATGCCTCAGCCTCCCGTGTAGCTGGAATTACAAGCATGCACCACCATGCCTGGCTAATTTTCTCATTTTTAGTAGAGGTGAGGTTTCACTATGTTGGCCGGGCTGCTTTCGAACTTCTGACCTCAAGTGATCTGCCTGCCTCTGCTTCCCAAAGAGCTGTGATTACAGGCGTAAGCTGCTGCGCCCTGCCAGAAAGTTATTTTAAATTAAATGGCAGACATGATTAGAGCATTTAGTTGGAGAGAAAAGACTAAGGTTTTCTTTTTTTTTTTTTTTTTTTTTTTTTCGAGACAGAGTTTCACTCTTGTTACCCAGGCTGGAGTGCAATGGCACGATCTCGGCTCACTGCAACCTCCGACTCCTGGGTTCAGGCAATTCTCCTGCCTCAGCCTCCTGAGTAGCTGGGATTACAGGCACGCGCCACCACGCCCAGCTAGTTTTTTGTATTTTTAGTAGAGACGGGGTTTCACCATGTTGACCAGGATGGTCTCGATCTCTCGACCTCGTGATCCACCCGCCTCGGCCTCCCAAAGTGCTGGGATTACAGGCTTGAGCCACCGCGCCCGGCCAAGACTAAGGTTTTCAATTCCATTTATGTGTCAAGTTGAAACCTGTTTGCACATAATCAGCTCTCCCAGCTCCTTCGGTCCTGCCTGACCTTTGCTGCACAGTCAAGCAGCAGTGGTCTGCTGGCTAGGGTGGAAAGGGGTATATTTTTACTTAAAATTGTTGTTCAAGGGGAAAAATTGGTTAAAAACACTTGTTATACATTTATCTATTTTCTCGAATCTATCTGATATTAGTGCCAGAGGACACTGTCTCTGTCATTTGAGAAGTATCTTTAAAGGCACTGAACATTCTTGTAAAGATGGTTTAAAATAGAATAGGTGGGCTCCAAAGTGAGTACTCTTTGAGGGAGCGTTTCAAACATGAGTTTTGATATCTGACGAAGAGAAAGAATCAGGGTAATTCCATATTCATTTTAGGGTGTCAAAGTAATGTATCCATTTAGAATGATAAAGCCTGCTTTTCAAGGCTTTCCTATACCCTGCTGTCTTTCCCTCCACCCCCTTTTCTTTTTTCCCTCCTTTAATAATCAAACTATACATGCCAAGCCACTTACTTAAATCAGTGGCAGGAGTATTCTTGGTGGCCAGGCCATTAGCCCCTGGAGCTCCATAAGCAGCTTAATCAGTTTTCAGCCTCAGTAGTAAAGTGATCAAGGCAATCAACAGCTTATCAAACACCCTGTAGGCAGGGCAGCTAGAGCTCAATGCAGCCATTTACTTAACAGCTCACTCTAACCTGGTTCTTTGTGCCTGGCTTTAAGAGCCCCAAACTTACCATATTTAGAGGAAGTTTAATTCGATTACTTTTTCTGCCTGAGGTGGGTTAAATCAGATTTAGCTTTTGATCTGTCTGCATCTTGGCTATCAGCATTGAAGGGCATCCTCCCCTTCATCTTTCCTTGATTTCTGAATAAACAGCAAGCATGTTTTCTAGATCTGAATTGTTCATGCAAATATATAAGGGAAAGGACACAAGGAAAAAGAATAAAAAATAACATTGCTTAGCCGGGCGCGGTGGCTCAAGCCTGTAATCCCAGCACTTTGGGAGGCTGAGGCGGGTGGATCACGAGGTCAAGAGATCGAGACCGTCCTGGTCAACATAGTGAAACCCTGTCTCTACTAAAAATACAAAAATTAGCTGGGCATGGTGGCGTGTGCCTGTAATCCCAGCTACTCAGGAGGCTGAGGCAGGAGAATTGCCTGAACCCAGGAGGCGGAGGTTGCGGTGAGCCGAGATCGCGCCATTGCACTCCAGCCTGGGTAACAAGAGCGAAACTCCGTCTCAAAAAAAAATAGTAATAATAATAATAACATTGCTTTGTGACAGGGCGTGTAGTGGTATCGGGAAACCCTACCTAACAGACCCAACCACCAGCCTTATGGCATCCTGGGCCATTTGGGCCTCTTCTGGACGGCTTCATCATCCTGCTTCTTGTCAGTTTCAGCATTTTAGAGTAAATTATTTTCCCCTCTTTGACATTTCTCCTCACTGCTAAAGGTTTCTGTAAAAGCAGATCTGTCTATTATATCAAGTAACTATAGAAAAGGGCCTTTTAATATAGAAATTTGCAGGGGAAAAGAAAATAAAGCAAGTGATTGAAGAGTTATAAATCAGAAAAAGCAATAATACAGATATTCTT